AGAGAGAGAGAGAGAGAGAGAGAGAGAGAGAGAGAGAGAGAGAGGAGGCGTGGCCTCCACCAGCTTAAGAGAGCCAGCTTTTCCTGACCCAGTCTCTTGCACCAGCTCTTCTGGGGGACGGAAGAGGTGGAGGAAAAGACATCTCACCCCTTTCCACCACCACCACCACCTCCACGCCCCCGGCACGTTCGCCTGTTTTTTGGGCTGGAGCTGATCGAATGTGCCTGAGCGTACAGCGAGCCCGCGGGGGTGGGGGCTGTCAGAGAAAAGAGAAGAAATTCTATCGCTGCGGAGCTGGGGGGGGGGACGTTGCAGCAAAAAAACAAACAAAAACAAAAACGAAAGACAGATTCTTCACCAGGGATCTTACTGTGCCTTTGCCTTCTACATCACGGTCCATACCCCGATGATCTTAAGAAATAATGATAATAAAGGCCATCATCCCCCGACCCCACGATTATTTGCAGGGCTGGAGTAGCCCGGCCCGCCGCAGCAGCCAGTGCATATAAGGACTGATGTAGCAGTGGGGAGGGCACGGGGGTGGGATCGGCCTCCAGCAGTGGGCCGTGCAAGTCCGGCTCAGGAAAAAGGAGCAATAGCGTAGGCACCAGCAGCGCCCAGGCCACTCACCAGGGCAAGCTGAAATGTGCATAAGCAACAGGATCGGAGTTAGCTTCCTGCCCCTAGCCGCTGGTTCACGGTCACTCGTGCAGCTTGCAAGAGGATATCAGAAGGGGATGAGCCCTGGAATGGAAATCGACACCCACCTCCGCCCTCTCCCCACCGTCTGGGCTGCTAGTGCCCGCAACTCCCCGGGGGGAAATGCCCTGTACTAGGGAGAATTCTCCTTTCCTACTGACGACCCAGGCGCCAGGTATCTGTGACAGCAAAGGCTGGATTTAAATTTCTGTCCGCGTTTCACTGCTGACCTACACAGATTGATAGCGAAAGTTTGGCTGCCAGGAAGCATGTAACATACAATGTGTAGGAGGGAGAGAGTGTATTTTTTAGCCAATTTCTCATCTGCATCCAAAATATTTACAGCGCTGCGCGGCTATACTATGAGGCGGTTTGTGAAGTCACTTCCCCCTCACCCCCAGTCCCCAGCGCTGCTGCCCCTACGACCCTAAGCACACGAAAATGGGTACACCAAGTGGAAACACGGAAATGGAATGTTTGTTACAAATAGAATTGTGAGCTTTCAAAGTGTTTCACTCTCCTTTGTTAGAAACAATCTCACTGGAGCCAAGTGCTCTGAATGACTTTGCTTGTATATAAGGAAGAATACCAGCTTCAGAATAAAGCTTTTGAATGAACAAGTGAATATAAGTGAGTGAATGAAAAAAAAGTCAGGGCAGTTAGCTTAAATGTCTGCAATTTATTCTTGGCATTTTAAAATGATATTCGGCACCCACTGTACTGTGTTTTCATTAATGTTGGTATTTATAAAGACGAATGCACCATGAATTTTGAAAAATTGATCCAACAGCTCACTTGCCACCAAAATTCAAGTAACTAAGTTTTGCCTTTAAGCCTAGTACCTGTGTTATCAATACTAATAGTAGCTTATAGTTAGATGATGCTTTTTACAAAGCTCCTACATATGTATTATCTCCAGTTACCCTCCCAACAGCTCTGGGAGTTGGGCAAGTACAGTAAAATCATAGAATCATAGATCGAGGGCCGGAAGGGACCTCAGAGGACACTGAGGTCAAATCCCTCATTTTACAGATGAGGAATCTGAGGTGTAGGAAGGCTGAGCAACTTGCCCAAAGTCACAAAGCTAGGAAGTGGCAGAATTAGGATTCAAACGCAGGTCTTCTGATGACAAATCCATCCTTCTCCCCATTTTTTTCTAAAGATTTAGTTCACCAAATATCTATGAAGCACCTCCTGTGGGTCAGATCGTCTGACACATTCAACGACAAAAATGAAAGCACTCTCTGCCCTGAAGGGGCTTAGACTCCACTAGGGGAAGGATGACAGAGGATAGATGAATCTATGTAGTTAGCAGCTGGGTTCTAGAACCAAGGCTTCAGACTCCAAGTCCAAAGTAGTTTCTGCTAGGAGAAAGATGTTCGGATTTGGAATAAGGGTACTTCAGAAGGAACTCCAAAGACACTTGCTGGAGCAATGACTAGAGTTAAATTGGGGTGTGAGGAGTCTCAGTCCCTTGTCTGTAAAATCTGAGAGTTAGAGTAGCTAACCTCAGGGGTTCCTTTGACCTCTACATCTATAATAACTTTTTTTCTAGACTATTTCCTCACACAATTTTGCTACATGCAATACCACTCAGTGATGTCAGAAAGAGGTAAGAAATTGTCCTTCTTTCCTTATTCTCTCTCATGTCAATTTCCTACGTAGATCTGACTTAAGGTTAAAGTATCAGTGTCTATTCTGGAGAAAATAACATCATAACACTGAAGGGGGCAGGGGTTCAAACAGAATTATTTTATGGTATTTGTAATTTGTAATAAAAGGAGGAACAATAACTAATTTGCTTGAATCATTAGGATATTTTTCCATTCCTCATTTTATTTGTAATATAACAAAATGCAATAGCCCTCACCAATAAGGTGAGAACAAATCATTTCATTTAAAATTGAAATAACCCCTTTAGGCACCCAGGTTAGCATATCATGAAGTATGATTCTGGAAGGCACTAAATCATATCTTTATTAATGGCAGCGATTTGGGGGCTTTCTAAATAGGAGGGCCAAACTCAATAGACTTGTATTTACATTTCAGAACCCTGGGAGAAAAGAATGCCATTTCACCCAGTCCATTTAGGGTCCATTGATATGTATTATCTTCTAGCTAGTCTCTAAGGTCTACAGCCTCGTTGAGGTCATTCTCCCTCATTCTACCCCAAAAGCAAGCATGCCAAGTCTTGCTCTTTCTGCCTCCATAACCCAGCCCAATCCAACAAGTATTTATTTATTAAGGACCCACAAAAGGAACTGGACAAGGTGCAGGGGATAGAAAGATGAAAGACAAAAACTAAAAACAAACAAAAAACCCACACACTCTGTTTCCAAGGACCTTATACTCTAATGCATGTTGTCTCCCTGCCCCTAGCAATTAAGTGGGAGCTCCTTGAGGGCAGGGACCATATTTTTGCCACTCTTTATATCTCCAAAGTTTAGTGCAGTGCCTTGGGATTTAGGCGATCAAAACCATCCCTTGATCCCCCGATCCCTTTTCAGCACCATTTTGTCTGTTGTCTTCCCCCATCAGAATGTAAGCCCCTTAAGGGCAGGCATCATTTTTATTTTTGTTTGTATTTGTGGCCTCACACTTAGCAAAAAGTACCTACTAGCCAGTTAATTGACTACTGGGAGGATACATGTAAACACAAAGGTATTTGTGTTTTTACTTGGATTTGATACATGATTGCTTTGGTATATCGAACTCGCAGGAGGAAGCCTTCTCTTCCAATGCAGATCAGCCCTTGCCCTGAGTATCCTTCCCTGGTGCCTTGAGAAGTTTCCTAACTTGTCCATGGCCCACAGCCAGTGTTACGTCAGAGGCAGAAATTGAACGCCAGCCTTCATGACCTTGAAGACAGCTGCCTCTATAAACAGATTCATACGCACATGTAAATATACACATATACCTATATCAATATACATATTCATATATATGTAGGTCTACCTGGGCATGTCTAATGCGCCGCTAGGTGGTACCATAGTGCACAGAGCACCAGGTCTGGAGGCAGGAAGACTCATCTTCCTGAGTTCAAATCCAGCCTCAGACACTAGCTGTGTGACCCCATTTGGGGTTTTCATGGCAAAGATAATAGAATGGTTTGCCATTTCCTTCTCCATTCATTTTACAGATAAGGAAACTGAGCAAACAAAGTTAAATGACTTGCCCAGGGTCACACGGCTAGTAAGTGTCTGAGGCTAGGTTGAAAATCAGATCTTCTTAAGTCCAGACCCACCACTCTATCCACTGTGCCACCCAGCTGCCTGACACAAATGTAGTGTCTCACCAGGGTAGAATACAACAGGACAATCCTCTTCGGGGTTTCTAGCCTCCCTTAAGGCAGCCTAAGACCTCATTATAGTATTTTTGCATTAGGTTACACTGTTGACACATATCAGTTTAGATGTGGCATTATACTTATTTGTACTCCTCAGTAGAATAAGAGTTCCTAGAGGGGAGCTCAGGGGACCATGTGATCTTACCTTTGTATCTCCAATGCCTAGAATTGGGTCTTGCACATACTAGACTTTTGATAAATGTTGGTAGAAATTGATTGAATTTAGTTATTTAGTTCAATAAATATTTACAAGCCTGCTGGGTGCAAAGCACTGTGCTGGCCATGACAGTTAGGGATATAAGACCTTACAGTC